ATAACAGCACTAAATCTTACCTTAAACTCCCCAAAGTTCAGCAGCCCAGGAAGCTGGAAAGATCCCCAACTTCCAAACTGAATCCCAGAGCGGAAAAAATTCAGAGTGAAGGTGGCAGCCATGGAACAGAACAGCTGAGAAAGTACAAAAAAAAATAAAAAAGGAAGTAAAGACTCCCAAAATTACGATTGACATAGTCAGCTCTTCCTTGAGATTTATGCCAGGGCAAGGGAACCTCAGAGCCTTCTCAGGCTTAAGGAAAATAATCCACTAAGGTTTAACACCCATTCCCTCCTGCAAAAGAGAGCAGGGCTAGAATGAACGACTATAATCATCCAATTTGGTTTCCCACACAAAAAGTTAGGAATTTCACCTAGTAATTCTTGCAGGGAAAGCTCTTTTTAATTTTTTTCCAGATATGCTAATTTGCAGTTGCAAATCAATTACAAGAGACTAACACAGTTTGTTTAGAGTTGGAATTGAGGTCTTCATTGGCTCTAAGAGAGTCGCTATCTTGGCAAATCCCCTGGCTCCTTTTATCGTTTCTGAGAAGAAGCAGACTAACCAAATCCCATGAACAGGACATTTGACATAAGAAATGCCAAAAGCATCACGAAACCCATTACGTTTTTAGTGTACTGTCAACTTCAGGAAAGTAGACATTACAGGCAGAGAAATCAACAACCTGAAGGCATAGGGCATTGCTGCAATACAGTTCCCCAAGGCAGAGAAAAGTAAAAAGAAATCCAGCAACTGCCTACTCTGTCTGCTCCCAACGGATCAGACAGCAAAGAGCCCAGGCACAAAAGCCCCTTCTCCCAGGTACACTAAGTCTGCTGCCCCACAGAGTTGTCCCTTAGTTCCAGATAGTACCAGACTCATCCCTGCCCTTGACTCTAGTAACTCTGGAGCACTGATAGAGCAGGCAATCTCTCTCTGGCCAGGAAAGCTCAGGAGGAGACAGGATAATCTAAATGCCCTCATGGACAAGCCCCCCCAAAGGTGCAGCTCAAGGAAGACACACACAGAAAGAGCTGGAGGCATTACTCACCACTTTCCATGTAAGTCCTTGGTTCCAGAAAGAGGAACCTTCTTCCAAGCTGAAAAGAGTGCCCCCAATTGGGGCTCCAAAGGCAGCTGCAACCCCTGCAGCAGCTCCAGCAGATACAAAATCCCTTTTATCCCTGAAATGAAGAGGAAAACAATCTCAGTTTAGCAAAGTAGAGCTCTGGATGTGTTTAGGTTCTGTAAAGTAAGAGACCATTCCCATTTATGGACATATCCCAGGGATACAGGAATGACACCTGGAAAAAGTGCTGGCCATGGCAGTCAACCCCATTTATTCAGTAAGTCACTGCAGCATCATGCTCTTTCTCTAGAGCACCAACACAGAGCAAAACTCTAGCACTACACAACTGCCCAATATATGAGGAACCATTTCAAACCGTGAGACTCCAACATCACTTGAAAGAAGTACAGAGAGGGAAGGGCAAGATTTTGTTCACATTCAGGTGAACCAGCCTCCTCTGTAGTATATCTTGGTCGTAAGTGGTAAGTAACCGAGCTTGTTCCCAACAATGAACCCATTTAACCATTCAGATTAAAGGTTTTAAAGGGCTGGAGAATTGCTGAGTAGCACAAAAGAACATCAATGAACATGGAGACCACAGCAGCATGGAAGAGTCAAGTCCTAGTGTTGTCTTGCTGCAGAATGAAACTGCAGGACACTAGGGAGAAACTGAAAAAACAACTAGTTGATTCATCCCAGCCCGCCACCCTTCTCCCAAGGAAGTCTGCTCACTCATCCTCCTCTCCCCTCCTCCACACCCTGGGTACAGTACCTGTCACTGCGGAAATAGGGAAAGTGAAATTGGATCTTCCTCAAAGAGATGCTCTGGAACTACAAACAAAGTAAAGATTTAGAAACATAGAAGATGGAAACTTACTCCTCACAGCACTCTTAGAAATCAGCGGTGTGACCAGGACAGAGATCCAGACCAGCACTAACCTGTGGCAAACCCGCACCCACGACGGCACCACTGTGAATCATTGGACCCTCCTTCCCGACAAAAAGACCTGGAAAACCAGCACTGATGAGGCAACACACTCCCCCCACAACCCCCCCCCCTTGCTGACAATGTCAAGAGAGATCAGCTCACCACTCCCGTGCCACGGCACAGTCCCCTGTCCCAAGCCTGCAGCTCCTCCCTCTCCCCTCAAGCTGAAGGAAGGGGCTGACCCCTGCCCCCTCAACCCCCCAAACGTTTGTGAAGACTTGCACAGACTTGGCACTCCAAGTGGGTGGAGACATTCAAAGACAGCCATTACAAGACTCTAAACTCTCCGAGCTACTCTGTCCTGCTGCCTAGAACACAGCCTCCTTCAGGCTGCTCTAGACAACGTGTTCTGGAGAATTCTCAGGTCTCCCATTTGGATTAAGGCACAAAGAGTCACTTCTGACTAGCCCACCCAGAAAAGTACCTGTTCCCCCAACAGTCCAGATCCCTCTGTCTATTTTCTACTCTACGTATGCATTCAGGGCTCATGACTCTGCTCCAGCTCATCAAAATCATTTTACTGGAAAGGCAGGAGAAGCCTTTTGTGCCCTGTGTACAGAAGGGACAGCGTTTTTCCCCCTTCACTGATTCCTTACCCCAAGACAATCAATACACCACAGCCCTGCTTACCTCCTGCCACACTGAAGAGCACTCCCATAGCTTTGCACACCACCGTCCGGAGACGCACAACCCCTGGAACCTTTACCCCATTGAGGTAGCACTTAATTTCAGGAATTCCTGATCCAGCTGCTACAGGCTGTAGAAAAGAAACACTGACGCTGTGCTGCATCTATTTCATAGCTGACCAACAATATCTCATCAGAGAGCACAGCAAGGGATCGAGAGACCCTGCTTAGCTAAATCAATTAGCACTGTGAAGCTAGTCTGACATATTGGGGCAGCAAGTGCTTTTGGCTAGAAGGATACTTCATACCCAGGGCCTGTGTGAGAGGAAACGAAGGCTGTATAAGCAGCAGCAGTGGACCTAAGTCTTACTTGGATCAGGACCAGAAGACTGGCAAGAAAAACAAAGGTCATATTGAACCCCAGCAGCTCCAGCAAGGACAACGCAAGGCAGCCTTTCTCAGTGCATTCTTCCACCGCTGCAGGGACGGTCAAGGAAAACAACAATGGTCCCCCCACCAACACACAATCATTCGGGACTGTCTGGGGGTCCTACTGGCAGCAGGAGCCAAGCCTGTGCTTCCTAATCCAGTCACAGCAGCTGACACAACACATCAGGAAGACAGGCTTCCTTTTCAGAGCTCAAGACTGAGGTAATAAGGAAGGGAAACCACTCGTTCTTTCAGGATTAGCCTTTGCCTACATACACAATACTGGTAACATCTCTTGTTTTCAAGGGCTGAATTACATAGGCAAGCTGAAAACTTGATTAATCATCAACAACGTGACTGATGGCAGAAGTCTGAGAGTCAGCTGTTCTGAGGAAAATATTGCAACAGAAAGGAAAAGGTCACCTGAGCCTAACAGGAACCCATAGGCTAGGTAAAAGATACAGCTTTGTACCACCCGGAACTTGAGCTGGGTAAAGAGCCGTACAAAGAAATCCACAAAGAGGCCCACCTATGAAAAAGAAGATAGATTTGCCATCAGAAATTAGTACATACAAGTAACAAAGACCGCCCTCTAACTAGTCCTACCAGAAGTATGCACACATGGGAGAACACAGGATGAAGAAGGCAAAAGAAGCATTGTTCAGAGTAAAGTAACTTCGGAAGCTCAGATTTGTTGCCTTCCTTTTCTCACTGGGACAGATCCATCCCAGAACTATTCTTGAAGAGATGCATTTCAGAGTACTAATCTGGTAGCATTTTTTCACACCCACAACATACTTTGGGCTACAAAAGAAAGCTGGTGTTTCACTGAGGCATACAGTCAGCAGAGCTAATTTCCAAACACTCTACAGAAAGCACATGCAGTGATGCTACTCTGCCAAACATAAAAAAATACAGTTCAACTGTAAATTGGCATCCTTTTCTATTAAGTGCTCACTTTGGACAAGTTTTCCCTCATGCAGAATTAAAGGATTTGCCAGAATATTTGCAAAGAAAGCACAGCAAGTTCTAGAAGAAAAAGAAGGCTTCCTGGAAAATAATTTAGCAACGACGTGCTATAGTTCCTAGAAGATAACTCCAGCTACTAAGCTCTCCACTTCATAGAAGAGAATGTTTCCTCCTCTTTACTCTTCAGCCACTGACTTCTAAATTATTCCTGCTTAGTCTCCCGAATTTTCCTCATTCCCCAAACAGCATGACCCTTACCAGTCCTGTGCAGACTCCAATAGCAAAAACCATCACCCACTTCACTGCTTCGTATCTCTGGGCTTTCTGCTTAGGAAGAGGATAAAAACAAAGAAGCCACCAAGTCAAAGCAACACAGAAATGAGGATCAGAAAAAGGCAGTTTTGGGCTCCATAGCTTAATTACAGCTAGAGTGATAAACCAACAGAAGATGGTGATAACAGCAAACTGAAAATAGGGAACTGAAAGTGCTGAACATCTTGCTCACTTTAAACCTGAGGATGAGAACAGATGCTGGGAGCTATAATCTCTGCACACATTTTTATTCTTTTCATAGAAAAATCAAAAGAGTACAATTAAAAAAAAAAAACAAACCAAAAAAACCCAACACAAAACTTCCTGTACTGGAGTGTATTTAGAACCACAGACCAGTTTGGGTTGGAACTTTAAAGACCATCTTGTTCCAACCCCCCTGCCATGGCAGGGACACCTTCCACTAGACCAGGTTGCTCCAAGCCCCATCCGGCCTGGCCTTGAACACTGCCAGGGAGGGGACAGCCACAGCTTCTCTGGGCAAATTTCTCTGGGCAATTTCCACAGTTTTAGCTCTCAAGCTAATGAAAAAGAAAGGAAAAGGTCCTACCTTGTTGTCCATGCTCTCCAAAACTTCCAAGTATGGGTCATTGATACAGCGATCGTAATCCAAGCTCTGAAAGAATGCCAAAAGGTCAACTTAAAATAATAGCTCAAATAGATTGTGCAAAAAACTATGTCTAGAAAACCTTGTTAAAGATTACAGAAGGAATTTCTACCCCCACAGTAGATTTTTCAAACAGTAGGAGAAAAAACTCCTGGAAACTTAATTTAAACATTCCCAGCAGAGCCGGACCCTGAGAATCAGGAAGTGAAAGAACAGACCAATTTCACTGCCCAAGCTGAGAGATAGGGAACCAAACAGGAGCATGACTGATTAATACAACTTTAAAGAAGACACATTGTACAGATTTAGACATTACTTCTTTAAGTGCCTCCAATTTGACAGTGCAGGGGATAACATTCGATCTTTATATTTAACCTTTCACTACAACAAGAACACTAGATAGGAATTCCTCGCCAGATGAACAGCATCAATTCTTAACCTTATCACACCAGCGAGTTTAACAGAGTTGCCCAGTCATACTCACAAACTACCAGTACATCAACTTCACCTTTTCAAGCCAAGCAGTAACAGGCTGAGCTGGCAACACCCACACTGACAACAGCTCTAAATAGCTCAGGGCCACCATACAGACATACAAAACCCAAAAATCTCCTGTAAGAAGCAGCATCTGATAGAGGGGAAGATCTGTTCCAAGCTAGCATGACATCAGAGCTGTAAGGCAACAGTAGATTGTAGACCAAGTAGATACAGATGCTTTCTACAGCCATGAGGAAACAAGACCACTGGAGCCTACAAATCCCACATTAAAAAAGAACAACGCAGTAGAATCTGAAAATGAGTTTTCTCAACAAGAATCTGACTTAAGCAGTGGATGCTCAAGCTCTACTCACAGGGCTTTAAGCCAGAAATGTATAATGATGAGGGGCAGCTCTTTACAAGTGCAGCAACTCTTGGTATTTCTGCTGGTGCCAACGCAATCTAACTAGTGGTGCATTCTGAGTGCCTGCCCCATTGCAAACTCAAACAGATCGAAACTTGTCTGCAGTTCTTTCCATATTTCACAAGCTGCTATCAGTTAATTTCCCACCTCATAGTCTTTGCGCGGAAGGATCTCATCCTCCTCTTCATGAGTTTCTCCTAGGATTGTCTGCAAAACAAACAAATGTGGGAAAGGAAAAACATCAGGGGGATGAATGCATGTAGAGGTGTTCATGAACATTGGTAGCAGAGCCAAAATTAGCTAAGGCCTATACCACTATTGCCTATAAAGTCAGACTACGGATATTCAGACTATCACTCACTTTGGTGGAACCGTACAGGGCCTCACCTTAAAGTCTGCCCCTCAGCGAGATTTCACTACATTACTTCTACGTGGGAGCTCCTCACAGCGAAGTAAAGCTGAGTACTAAACCCACAGCCCAGCTCCCTTCACAGCAACAGGTTACAGGCAAGCACAGCACAAGGCGCTTGCACAGACAGCTTCCCCCTATGCCGGGCTGAGCTCCCGCCAGAGCCACCCACAGCAAGAGGTGCTGTACCCGGAGGAGGAGCGGCAGCGCAGGCTGAGCACCGGCCCCAGGGGCTGGGATACCAGGCCCAGCAAAGCAAACGTTGACAGGGGCACCGGGACAGTGCGGGCCGAGGCATCGCCAGTAACGCCTGGGGTACCGGGCTCAACATGAGGCAAAAGAGCGGGAATGGGCT